ATAAGCTGTATATAATGTATATTTTATAGTATAATATAAATAAAAATTTTTTTTATTATATTATATTGTAAAATATATATATAATTAAATAACAATACAATATAATTTAATTAAAGTAACTGTATATATTTTTTATACTACAATATATGCAGATGTAGTTAAATGCATATTAGGTTTAATATTGTTTTAACTATAAAAAATTTTTTTATAAAGAATACTAATTAGTAAATTATATATTAGCAAATAATAAATATTTTTTTTATTTTATTTTTTTATAAGTAAGTGTTTATTCTTATAGAAATGTTTATGATATTTTTACATTATATTAGTATCTTATAAAAAAATGATTTTTTTTATAAATAATAATATCTGTTTCTTTAGATAATGACAACCGCTACCAACTTCACATCAGAATTAAATAGAGTACAAGCTCTGATAAATAAATTGAGAGAAGAAAATACAGTCTTAAAAAATGCAAATGAAGATTTGAAAAAAGACAATGCTCAACTAAATGAAGATAATATTAAATTAACTGATGAAAATAATAAGTTACATGAAGAAAATAAAAAATTAAATACTTTATCTAATTCTAATAATAAAATAATAAGTAAAGCAAATCAAAAAGTGAATGATTCTTTGAAGAATTTTGGTGTTAAGTTTGAGAGAACAGAGACTTTAGGAAGTAAAATGGATAAAATCATGACAGTCAATGAAGAGTTAAAAGGGGTAATGATGGCATAATTGTGTAATTATATGATTAATTTTTTATAAATACATTAGATTTTTTTTTTTTTTTTAATTATTAAAAAAAACGTTAATGTATGTTTTTTTTATTTTTTTTTTATTTTTATTATTAATTTTAATCTTTTGTTCTTTTTAACAATAAAGATATCATAAACTATAAATAAGTCTTATATTTTGTTCAATAAAAAAAAAAAGAAATGTTTAATGTATATATTAAATTAATTAATTTAATTTGTTTAATATTTTGTTAATAACTAATTTTTTTTATAGCTTATCAGTTTCATATATCAATTCTCAGAAGTATATTATATGTACCATGGGTTTTGGAAATTTGGTTGTTATGTGTATGAATATTGTTATGAAAATTTTTTTTTAACAATATTTATATTATATTTGATAATTGGGTTAAATACACAAGTTGCAGGGTTTTTAATTGAAAGAGATTATAAAGAAATCTACAAAACAATTTTGTGGTTATTAATTTTTTTTGTTTATTATAATGTGGGTCTCTGGCTTACATTGATGTATTTTAAAAGCATTTTTACAATTCTTTTTGATCTTGTTAATGCAAAAAAATAAATTATATTATATAACAAATCATGTCTATTTTGAATATATAATTTATGTAATAAATTCTAAATATAAAGAAATGAAAGTTATAAATAAATAATTCAATAATCCTAATAGAACAAAATGTTAACAGAAACTAAAAAAAAATAACTACTATTGAAATTGTTTTCAATGAAACAAATTTAAAAAAAAATTAAATAAATATTCTCTAACTACAGAAATTTTTGTAAATTGTCTAAGTGGTTTAGGTGCATGTTGGTCAAAAAATCAATAATAAAATCTTTTAACCAGTCAGATGTTTCATTAAATAATTTTGAAAACCAATGTGTCTTGTAGTAATTGGATTCAGTTGATAAAAAATTGTTTACTATAATTAATGTATCAATATCCTTTTGTTTATCTTGAAGCATTTCCTCAACTTTATGAAATATTTTGACTCATGTTTCTTTTAGTTGTTTTAAAGATTCTAAATAATCTGCTTTATTATCTTCCATGAGTTTGATAATATCATCAACTTTGTCAAATAACTCTTTTATTTCATCCATAATGTGAAATCATATAAATATGCAACTCTTTTTATATTTTTTTTTAGTAAAAAATATGTAAAGTTCTTAATAGTAAACTAAAACAGTTTGTAAATAAATCAAAACTAAACAGGAATTAATTGAAAGAATATTGGGTTATGATCCTGATTATGCAATAACAAATCTTAATAATATAGAAAAACTTGCTAATATTGTGTACAATATTGATAATTCAAAAGTAAAAAAATGTAGAAAAAAAAATAAACAAGAAGAGAAAGAGATAAAAGAAAAAAAAACTACAAAATATCAACAATTCATAAAAAATAATTATGATGAAGTGGCATCAAAACATGAAAATAGTATAGAGACAATGAAAACAATTGCAAAGATGTGAAAAATAAGTCCTGAAAATCTGAAGAATGAATTAGGGTGTTCAGAAACTATATAAATATCTGAGTTCTCTTAATTTTTACAAAAAAATTAAATGGCAGATTACTTTGATTTGTGTGAACAATATAGTAAATCCAAATTAAAAATCAATATCATAATTTATTATTTATATATATTTCTTTTAATAGCTATTATCTACATAATATTTGTATTGCATATTAAATTTGTTGAAATTGATTTTAAGTTTATATCACATATATTATCACATTCAAACATTCTAGTGTAAGAAATATTTTACAATATAGTTCTTTTTATAGATTCATTTAGACAAAATGGCATCCAGTAAGAAAAAACAGATCATAAAGAAAGCTACTATCAAAAATACAACAAAACCAAGAAATATAATCACAAAAAGAAAATCAACTACTGCTGTTAAAAAAAGAACACAAATCATAAAATCAGTTGGAAAAGTAAAAAAGTGTAATTCATGTGGGTGTAAAAATAAAAAATGTTGCAAGTAAAAAAACAATCATCAAAAAAAACACCATACAATAAAACAAATTCGAAAAAGAAAGTAAATTCATCTTCATGCACTATCAGATACTGTTTTAATGAAGAGAAATTAAATGACTATAAAGTTTCAAGACCAGCTAGAACACAAATTATTACAGAAGTATTTGGTTCTGTTATAGAAAACAATAGAACATTTTTTGTAGATCCATTATACACATGAATACTTCTAATTAGACTTTATCAAACACAAAAAAATTTTGCTCCTTTTGAACATATTATTCTACATAATATTTCAATTTATATTAATTTTGTAATTTTACAAAGTGAAGATCATACTCGAACTATTGAAATTCCAACAACTGGAAACAGAAATAGTAGAATTACTTTATTAATCCCTTCTCTCAAAATTAAAAGCTTTATATTACAACTTTGTAATAAAGATCTTGCTCATAAAAAATTTTCTGATATCTTGATCAGTGATTTATTGGTTGATAAAAATTTTTATAAAATAAAATTTGACACTAGAAAAGTTAAAGTTGAACTCAAATCTGAAATAACTGTTGAATGTGATGCATGTGATTTTACAGAACATGAATTAATTATATGTTTAGACCTTAAAAAAATACTTGTTTGTTTTAAAAATAAACCAAGCAATACTGAATCAAGCTTTTTTGATAAAAAAAATTTCATATTTGTAATATTTCTAGACTATATGGATTCCGCATATAGTTTTAAAAAAAGAACTGTTCAAAATGAAAAAAATGCATATTTATTAGGTAAAGAATATAATCTTAACATATTAAATGTAGAAATTCCTAGATTTATGACAGATGGTTACATTGAAATGTCATGGAGTCCTTATTTAAGAGGTGTAGATTTTAACAGAATAATAAGTCAAATAGGAGATTGTTGTAATAGTAATAATAATATTAAACCAAAGTAATATAAACAAAATAGTTTTTTATTTTATTATTATATTATATTATTATCT